AAAAAAAAACGGTAACTGATTGGTGAGGGTATAAAGAATGAACTTCTGTAAATGAGTTCTGTTACTTACCTGCAAATTAAACGTTTAATGCACAAGTGTTTGTAGTACTTAAATCATAAAATTGTCATAAAGAACATGTCGAATAAAATATTATAGAAATTAGGGGTTTATTGTTCAGTAGTGTTTTTGATTTTTTGGGCCAAAGTTCTTCTAAAAGCAATAAGACATTTTTTATTAAACTTGTCAATTTGACAAAGGTCTGAAAAAAATGGTATTGCAATTCAGTTACTATTGTCCCCATCACTTCTAAAACGATGACTGGTGTTTACTTTTCTTACACTTTCTAGCTGAAGTTGCAAGACTATTTACGCCTTACAACAGAGGAAGAGGACTTGCAAGACGAACAAGCTTGCCTGTGATGAGTCGTGCAGTATCCTGCAGCTTTACGCATAACTTCTGCTGTCTTGATGACAAAAATGCAGATTTAGTACCCAGTCGCTGTGCAAAAGACAGATTGTTCTCTGCTGGGTTAGGGGAGAAACGTGTCACCTTTCGAGGTATGTAAAAAGCACTCTGGAATGTTAAGAGTTTTGTTTAAAAGTGAGGTTTTCTTGAACACATTTGGATTATTAATTCTTATGCATCATCTGTACTGTTAAAGGGATAGTTCAGCCAAAAAAATAAAATTCTGTTATCATTTACTCGCCCTCAACTTTTTGTAAACCTGTATAAACTTCTTTGTTCTGCTAAACACAAAAAAATAATCCAAATAATGCGTGTCAGCAAACAGGTTTGGGGCACCATTGACTTCCATAGTACGACAAAATACTATGGAACTCAGTGGTGACCCAAAACTGTTTGGTTGCAAATATTGTTCTAAAACATTAGTGCTTTAAAAAATAGTAAGGTCTGTCAGATTTGTCCTAGTATCTTACATTTTATCTTTTTGTTATTATTATTCTTAAAGGATGCCATGCAGATCCCCAAAAATTTAAGGATGTCATCGTGGAGGCTTTTCCAAAACTCAGACAAGGTGGTGGGTTTGAGTTGCTAAAAATATCTGGAAATACAAGGAGCCGTTATCTCAGCTTGATACCCTGTCCAAATGAGGGGTACCATGTAAAGTATTTGAAAGATCCTCAAAATCAAATTGGTCATGCAACCATTTTCATTCGTCACTTCAACGAAACTTAAGAAGTTGAATCAGTAAGTTACATACTTTCAAACAGGGAATGTTTTTTAACATTTACATAAAACATGTATGCCATGCTATTTTGCTGTGATGTTTTCTTGCAGCCAAGTCTTCCTAGCAGAGATGAGTTGATTGGACCACCTCAAAAATGTGTTGTATGTGGAGATGAATTCCCCTTTGCAGCTCTCAAGTCTCACAGTGATGAGTGCATGAGGTATTTGAGATACATTTTTTTTATGTGGAGTCTCTTATGGAAATGTTTATTTATCCTTGGTTTGGGCTCATAGGACAGAACGATTATCTGAGTTACAGTAGACTTTGTCAGTTTGAACCAGTCAATGTTACTAAAATGTCATTATTGTTGTCGTTGTTTTGAATTTTGAAACCGGCTAAATTCACCCAAAAAAATGTTATTAATTAGTCACCCTCATGTCTTTCCAAACCCATAACCCATAAGTTCATCTTCACAACACGAATGAAGATAAATCTGAGCGCTTTCTTTCCCTCCATTGACAGCCTATGTAACCTACTTTAAAGGTCCAGCATGGTAGTGAAGACATCATTAAAGTAATCCATGCTCTCACGTCAACTCAACATGCATGCGCTTTGGTTGTTTTGTGAGCTTGCATCTAAGATCTATATTTTGTTCTGTTTTTTTTTTCTCACAAAGCATGCATGCATCACACCCTCTTCATACGTTGAGGTTAAACCACTGGAGTCTTTACTAGCGAGTAAAGATGTGAACAACTAATCCGTGCAAGTTAATCCGCTGAAAAAAATTTTTTGTCTTTTTTGTCTTCAATCAAAATCTGAACATTTGCTTCGGCTCTGGAATGGCATTCCTTCTCTGATGACGTCAGTTTGACGGCTTGGGCAGAATATCCTTAAACACACC